ATGCTGAATAATGCACCACAACCAAATTAATAATAAAACAAAAACAAAAAACAAAACTCGCTGATTCTCTGCCAAAGATCCATTCTTAATGGGTTTTCGGTCGAAAGCCAACACCCTCTGTGAAGCACCCCCGCCCCTGGATTCCTGTGTAATGGTTGAGTTAAGGTGGCAGATACAAGGGATGCCTTGTAAGGCCTTGTGTATCCGGGTTGCTCCCGGAACAAAACAAATAGATGATTCCTTCCGTCATATTTAAGGCTCCTTCTTTTAGTTTTGGGCGGGTCCTTCCTTCCAAAGTACGCTGTTTCTGGTCGAGTTCCTTCCGCGGGTTTCCAGGTGGCCACCCCCCAAGTTGGCTGAGCTTCGATGGTCTCGAGCCGCGTCCCCGTGCGCGTCGAGGAGCAGGACTGAAACGAGACGAGCCACGTGAGTCAGACCAATTCGAATGGAACCAATTCGAAAGCACACCTGCGAGATTTGCTGCTCTGCAACCGGTGGTGGGGAAACTCGAAAATAAACCCTAATCGTTGATTCAGCGTGAAAGGAAACCCACAATCATGTCAATACAAATATACAAATATGTACATATGAAGAAGAGTTCGCGGCTTATCATCTAGTCTAGTTGGTGGGTTGGTCGGTTGGTCGGTCGGTCGGTTGGTCGGTCGGCGTCTTCATGGTAGAGAGTGTAAAATCGACTTTTCATGCACCTGCATTCCTCTTTGACCCCCAGGTTCAAGCGTTTGGCTAAGTGTCAGTTCGAACAGTTTGGGCAACTTCATCTTCAGGCGTCGGGGGCAGCTCTACATGGAATTGCGCATAATTGCGCTGGGGGTGAGAATTCAACACAAGAGCCAACTCGCAAGAGCCAAGGGAAGGTTGCGTAATACTCAGTGACCCAGAACTACAAGGTGATCACCTTTTGGGGCCATGACTGGAAACCAACCAGGGGACACCAAAAGGTGATTTCAAGTCGATTTGCTAACTGGAAAACTGAAGGGTGAATCACTGTTGAACCTCAGGAATCTACTTGGATCTACTTGGGCTACGTGACAAACCCCCTACTCCAAATACCCTCGTTTTTTCAGGGTATCATGTCGACCCTCTCCTAAGAAAGGAGGTATTTACCATGGAAAACCAGGTTTTCCCCAAAATACTCTGAAAATACGTGTATTTTGAGTAAGGGGTAGTTCTTCCTCGTCCCTCGGCTTTGAGATAGTTTTGAGGCCCGACCTGCCCTGCGAACACTACGATTACACGAAAGCTTCCCTCAAAGGGCCTCGGACCAAAAATCCGTGGGCCCCATGTTTGGGCAAACTGATGAGGGCACCCCATTTTCCGCCCCAACCAATAGCAGACTACCATCGGTCTTGCAAGTTTGTCATGTGACAAATGCTTTGGTATGTTCGGATTGCCATTTATCGGACATACACTAGAGTGCCAATGTGCAAATTCATCAGTTGCTGAAATCCGCGAAAAGCACCAAAGCGATGCTTCATTTGGGAAACGAAAACCCTTGGCCAAGCACGGCAAGTCATGTCGGCTAGAAACACCGTAAAGTAAAGGAAATGACCTCTAAAAACTCTAAACACTCGAGGAATTGGTTCATGCTAAAGTCGCATCAGGTTGTTTGGACCCATCAGGCCGCCACATCCTGTGTCCGGTGAAACCAGCTCAAGAAGACGTCCCATTTGCAAGAGCAAGGCCCTGTTCTAAACCAACACACTTTGGAATTTGTGTATATTGACACCTGCGCAAGTATGCGCAAACATCATCAAACGTCTAGACTTAATGCCCCTTTTGAGTGTGATTCCATGAGCAAACATGCACAGGCATCATGCACACCCCAGTTCTACCTCAAGCTCGCACAACTAAACTTTCAACCTGTGTTGCAACAATTATGTGGCTTTGTCTCAAATGGGCAAACCTCCAAACAATTGGGTTGGTTTACCTTCTTCAAACAACCTGCAAGGGCTTCTGCTTTTCCCCCTCGCAAACTTGAGGGGCCTCTTGCACCTGTAGCTGAGGCATTGTGCTGAAACAAACAACACGACTCTGAGCCTTGCACAGCCTTCATGACCTAATCCTTTCGCGGGGAAGGATCGATCCTGATTGCTTTCGAACAAACGAGAGGTCTTGAGTCTTGGCCCCCCAGCTTGCGTGGCCGATCTTTCAGAGCTCCACACTTCTCTCCAACTCGGTATCCCAGCCCTTCCCAAACACCTGAAAACAAGGCCCTTCGGGTTGCTCCCATGGGACAAGGGCAAGCAATAACCTGAGGCTTGGCTCCTGTTCACTCGGATCAACCCTTTTGACAAGTGCTTCCAGGAGAGGGCGCGCACCTATGGTCAGGCCACATTGGGGGTCCAAATCCCCGTCGGATCGTCCCGTCCCCGCCGGGTCCCCGTAGATGTCATCGAAAGCGTCGCGCAGCAGCAAAGGAGAGCCATCTCTGCGCTGCCAGTGGAAGCGATTCGCCTGGCAACCCACTCGTGAAACCGCGAAAGCCGGGGGAAAGGAGTGCCTGGAGTCTCCTTCTGACCCAAAAGCGGTCATTACCCCCAAAATGAACGGGGTCATGGACCCAGTTTTAAAGGGTCATGAAGACTCCAGGTATAGCATCTTGCCCATCCCAACAGGCAGAGACCTTAGCAAGGTTTCAGAAAGCTTTCTTAGGGGAACTACCCCCACAGCCTCACTAAGGGCTTGAGGGAATCCCTGCGTAGGTGCTCCTGAAGGGGGATGAACCGCCAAGGAGAAACCGAAAGGTCGGAAGGCACCGCCCGCCCGCCTTTTTAACTTCATCTCGCTGGTAGCCAGTGCCTTGGCGCATGCAGCACATGTGCTCTGTTGCAATGTTCACCTTGCAGGCAGAGTGGGTTCCCCCCGAGAGAAAGGTTCGACCATGAAATCAAAATGCATTTGCCGGATCCACCAAAGGCAGGCCATCTATGAACCAACCTGAGCCCAAACATCTGGGACAAATGGAGCTGTGGACCTAATTCGCTTGGGGAACAACTGGCAGCCACTGGAAAAGAGCAGGGATAGGGCAAAAATCCGCTTCCCAGTGGATCATCCTTTCTCAGTGATTTTCAAGGGTGCCGCTTCAAGTGGAGGCTGAGAGTGTTTCATGGGAATTGGGTCCCATTCGCATAACAACTTTCAAACAGTGGTCCGAAACACTAATAATTCAGACGCCGGGCGGTCCGAAACATGCCAATCGTGGTCCGAAACTCGAACCAGCAAAAACAGCGATCCAAAACTTGCAACGAGTGGTCTGAGAATAGTTGATGTCACGCGCTTTGAATGCCATCCCAAAGCTTTTCACCCTGCTTGATAAGCCATCGAACGTCGCCGAAAGTCGCCGAGCGTCTCTCCCAAATGTGCTCCTGACCACGGGTTCCAATTTCTCTGTTGACCCCTGCATGTCTCATACACCCAGCTACAATAGGTCACCAAATGACAACGGCCACCAACCCTGCGGCGTTGCACCTGTCAGAGCTGACAGACCCAAGTCCAAGAACGCATCAACAACCCAGCTACGGTTGCCTGAGACCTTCTGTGGAACATCTGCCTCGCGAGGAGCTTTGTTACCTCTGAGCAATCCTCTTGACGTTCAATTCAAGTGGGTCGAAAGACAAATTCTGTCTGATGAGTGCTCCATGAGTGCTCCCTCTTAAAACCATGCATCCATGGCAACCATGTTTTGATAATTTGGAGTTCCAGCATCTTACTTGTTGCCATGCCAAAAGTCCAATAGTTTCATTGGCAAACAAACAAGCGGGCCATTCCGAGAAGAAAAAGAAAAGCCTCGCCTGCCCATGAGTCCCAGCTGCCTTGCTTTTCTGAGCTTATTTCCAGGTCCTCTGATTGTGAGACAAACAAATCGATGTTGCCTCTGTCTATGTCACAAGCCCATAGACCAGTAGTCAGGAAGTGTCGTTTTTCTTTGTTGGTTTCCCTTAAAATCTAAGACACAACAAGGGTACCCCTGCAAACCTCCAAAAAGCCCAGCCCCACACTCCGAAATGGGGAATACTTGGGCAAAAGGCCATAGAATCAGACAAAACAAACCGAACAACCAAAGCTCATGGCTGGCTCCTCTGGCAGGCCCCGAGAGTTGATGTTGAAGTCCCCACAAAGGACACAGGCATCGTGGGAGCCCGCCCGGTCGCGTAGGAGCTGGCTGATGGTGACCAGCTCCTCAGCTCCCATCCCTATACCCATTAACCTGCAAAGTCGATACCACAAACCCACTGCCGAAATTGCCTAGCTGAAACATTGATGTGCCGAGAACAACCCTTCCCGCAGCTGCAGAGTCCCAAAATGCAAGGACTGGAACATAAAGGGATATAAGACCAAAAATAAAACTGGAAAACCAAACTTGACTAGAGCGTGGAGGCCCAAACTCAGCTTTGCGTACCCTCCCAACATGTAGCCCACTAGAACTTCTCCTAAGAACAGTCCTGTCTTTTGGAGGCCTCCCTTCTAGGTGAGGGGTGTAAACCCGTAAGCCTGAGGGTTTCCCTGAGCCGAGGCGCATGTCTCCGCACGAGGCCGTCCTTGTCCCTGCTGCCGGTCATCAAGTGCGCAACACCTCGGCATGCGAACAGCCACGTCAAGGTTACGGGAAACTGGATGCCCGTTCAGCGATATCAAACTAGGAATCGGTTGACATGACTCATTATACTATAATATCTGTAGCCCGATCAATTCATAACACCTTTCATGGAACAAAGGGCTTCGCGCGCAGGCCTTTGTGCTGGCAAAAACTCACCAAAGTCACAAGAGCAATGCCCTCTGAGCAAAACCCTACGGGCACCGCGGTGCAGCAAACAAATCCTCCAAAAAATCCAAACACATCTGGCCATGGGTCCGTATCCCCAGTGAACATCCCGATCCTCACTAAAACAGGTTCCAAAATGCGTGGTGAATTCACCTATCCCAAAATGGGATCCCATTGGTCTTGAGCCATGGCCATCTCCCCGGTGCCGCGGAATCGCTCAGAACCTCAGGAGCTGCTCCAGGTGGATGAAAGCCACAGGTATCTCACGCCCATTGATCTGGTGGCCTGGGGGCAGACTACTCAGTATACCTGATCGAAAGCCACCCTTGACCTGCAAGTCGAGAAAGCCGCCACCCTGGCCCACCTGAAAGAAAGAGCCGCACAATGGCAGGGTTCTCAAAACCTGATGCTGCTGATGGTTGCCGATGCTTTCCGCAATGCAGTGGCCATTCACGTAGGCAGCCGCCCTGTGGCCGTTCAATAATGTGACACTGCCACCAATCAACCTATAGCAGCCTGGTGGCAGGTAGAGGCGACCATCCATACACCACACGGAATGCGGGCCAGACTGCAATACCTCCTGCTCAAACTGTAATTTGACCCAGTCGTCACTCTTGATACTCGGATCTGACCGAACGCACCCGATGATGTCTTTGCGATCCAAGACCAAATCCATGAGGGCTTCAATGCTTCTGCTCATCCGGGCAGTGCGAATGTAGAAGAAAATAACGATCACAAGAATCGCGCTCCAGGTTGCAATGCCATCCCCCCCCCCGGTAGTGTCATTGGTCCCTCCGACCATGGCGGTCGTCATCTCGCCAAGGCGATCAACTGACAAATCCGGCATCCAGTAGCGAATCCTCTGCCAGGCGGGGCCCACGATAATCGCAAGCAGCGCCACAACCAGGACCATTTCATCCGATCGGACGTCCAAGTTGCATCGGGATTTCACGTCAATGTTGACATTGCTGTAGAGGTTCGGGAAGGCAGGCTCTACATGCACGGCGTTGGGCGTATTTGCCATGTGCATGCAAACTGCATTGGGTGTATTTGCAATTTGCACCCCGCCGGGCATATTGCCGACAGCTTGCACCCCGCCGGGCATATTGCCGACCGCATGCATGTTGGCGCTGGCTCTGGCATAGGACTGTAGCTTCCCCTCAAACAATGCTTGACTATCTCCGGCAAACGATTTGATCAAGCTGCCCAAGACCATGGCTCTAAGAACTCAGACGATCGCTGCACTTGGCCGCCTTGGTCACTTCTTGAAGGCAACATTGACAGATGCGACTTCCAAAGGACTCCCGCGGGCTCTCGCAGCTTTTCTTCACGGTGCACCACGTGTTTCATATCAAGACGTGAAACGGGGCATCCAAGAAGTCGGAAGCATTAGACGGGTGAGACCACAGGAACGAAGGTCCAAGCGGAGTCGGCTGGACTGGGGCAGTGCAACCAGTGCTTCTCAAACCAGGCCTGCAGTAGTGGTACTTGGAAGTGGAAAGCACTGGATGAGTCCCCCTCAGGAATGTCCATCCGATTCACGTTTAGACTACTTCTTTGCTTTTTTCTTGAAAAGGGACTCGCAAAAAGGTCCAACAAAACGGCAAGGCCGACCCTCACCTGGTGATGCTATTTGTGTCGAAGGCAAAAATGCAAATGCCTATCTAATCCTTCTAGGGTTGTGGGTACGGTTAAACCATACTTAGCTAGAATCACGAAATGTGTCAAAATAATTTAGCCCCTCATACCACTCACTGCTGACTCACCCCTTGCGTTTCTTTTTCGGAAACGTCGACCCCGCGTTGTTCCCTGTTCAAGCAAAGGCGCAGAAGATCACTGGCACCTCGTCAACCTGCAGCTTGACATATCCCAGGCAGCGCCGGTCCTCAGAATTCGTGGCGTCGGCGGTCCATTTTTGGTATGGGGCTTCAAGAGGAGACCTCCCAACCAGGGCACCTGGCACTCCCGAATCGGGTTTCTCAAAGGTATTGGGGTGGGCTTTAAAGGAAACCAAAAGGACACCAACTACCTGCAAGGGTCCCCAGTTTTGAGCACTCATAGATTGCAGGGACTCAGCAATGCCCTGCGCGGGTTTCCTGCTCTAGTTCATGCGCAAGACTACGCAAAGGAAGCTCGCCACTTGCGAAACGCAACCAAGCTTCAACACCAAGACTCGAAAGGTCACCCTTAAAAAACAATACAGCCATATAGGAACAACGAGTTCCGGCTGAAAATTCGTCAGACCATGCTGCTGAAGAGCATGAATATGGACTTGTCTTGGCAGCTCTCTGATCTGATCTGTTAGGCATGTTGTGGATTTGTTTGGGGCATGGGTCTCATATACACCAGAAGAGGGCCCATTGATGTCACACCCTCAAAATCACAAACAAATACAGGAACCATTTCTCATTCCCTACCACAAGGGGTGGTTTATAGGGGTCATTCAAGCCACCAAGCACCTTGGCTTTCCCGTTTTTCTCTTGTGACAAGCCCGCCGAGGTGCCATGGCCCTCTCCAGGCCGGGCTCCTGAAGGTCGATGTTGCCGAAGCAGCCTATGCTCCCCCCCCTCCCCCCCCCCCCCGCCGTGGAAAAGCAGAACCAACGTGGGTGGCTCGTTTTTTTTAATTAAGATTTTGGGCTTGGTTTCAACGGAAGCCACAAACCACCCATTCTGGGGGTCCCTCACCCACATTGAGGTCCCTCTTCCATTACGACAAAGGGATACCCCTCCGGGCTGGTTTTCTTGTAAACATCCGAAGGGGGCCTCCACCAAAACACGTTCAGGGAAAAAACCGTTGTCCATTTCGTGCTGGTCTCAGAATGCGTTTTTGTTGGGTGTGAACCAATCCACATCACACCTGACACCTGGAGGTTTGCCCGGGGCGTTCGGCATCCGCTCAGCACTAGCAAATCACTCACTGGGAAGGCCCTTTTCCTCGGTGGTGTTTTCTTCTTTGCAACTTGTGTTAATCTTGATTAAATTTAGACAAGTCACCCACGAAAAAGGAGTAGCCTTTTTCTCTCAGTCAATTTGTAGGCATTCCTTGGTTGGAGCTTCCTCCTTGGAACCGCGCTTTGTGAGCGACCCTGATGGGTGTGCCCTACCAGTTGTGTGCTACGAGGCGCTAACCAGTTAACCCATTGATTATCTTATGATCATGACTTCTTGTGTTTCTTTAATTGCCCCACATCCCCGTTCCAATTATCAAAACTCTTCCAGTAATTTAATCTGTTGGCATGTACGGATGGCTGGTTATTCCAGCCCCCCACCCACTTCCCTCCCACAGAAGTCGGCAATCCTTCGTCCAAAAGTGAAAAGGGTGGCCAAGTTTAGAAAACTCCAATATGGCTGATTGCGACAACGGTTGATTATATATGCATGTTTCCTCAGGGAACGGAATAGAATGCAACAGCGCACGAATCTTGTTGAACGGTCTTGCAATATCCAGGATATGGCTCGGATGCTGCTTTTGTGGATCCACCCCAATAGAATATACAAAGTGCCAAAGATCCAACTGTTCAGCTTGCAGAGTTTCAAAGTGACACTCTACAGTGCCCCAAAGCTTCCCCTCCGAGGCCACTCAAGGGACCAAACGATGCCTTTCACACGCGTAGCAAAAGCGGTCTGCATGAAAGCGTTGCTGCTTTTGTGGAAGGAGTTCTTCGACGTCCTTGAAGCACCATCATTTGGGTGTGTCTCTTTGTTCAGGCATGTTCAGGTTGCCCCTCACCTCACACTGGCATGGCAGCTGAGAGCGGGTCCCTTCAAGAGAAACTTGATCTTCCACGCAGCGTCTCGCAGGTGCTATGTTAGCAGGCATCGCATTCTGGATGGTTTTAGACTTGTTTGGAAGGGAAAGCCAGCAGTAAACCATCCATTTTGCCAAAGACACTGGTCTCCGTTCCACAAAGGATTCTCCTGTCCTGGCGCGGCTCGCTCGGCACGACCCGGAACCAGTTCCGGGCTCCAGGGTTCTTTGGTGTCCCCGTCACACATCACGAAACTCATCTCGGGGTTGATTTCCCATTCTCCTCAAGCATCGTTTCCAAAGAATGCCGCTAGAACTCAAAGATTTGCCCAAGAGGTGATGCTTAAGCCACACAAAGCAGGGGCATCTGAAGATCCCCCGCACTCACCTTTAGATCACCTCAGGAACTACTCGGGTCGTGCATTCTGCAACTGAACACTCCAACAGTCATTTGGCATCTCTTTATTGGACACTGGGGGGAGGTCTCTGGGACTCGGACTTGCTATTCTTCATTTGTAACTGACAAATCTAAATTTAGAATTGTAAACACTTTATCTCAGATTCCTCGTACTTAATGTAAACGTATCAATTCTCACTTAACTATTGCCAAGGCATAGTCCGACGTACTTCATGTACAATCTTAAATTCTAAATTTAGTGTTGCTAAGAGACTCATTTCTGTCTGATTCCCAGATCTCAGATAACCCCCTTTGTCTAAATAAGTAAAGGCCACGGCTTTGATCTAACAAGTCATCCCCACACAAACAAACAGGCTGGTATTAAAAAGGGCCCGCGAAACGGTCGGAATAAAATCGATCAGGGGTCTTGCGTCTTGTCTATTCCGTTCTTCCAAAAAGGCTACTGGGTTCATTTGAAGTGGCATTATTGTGGTTCACAGGGAAACCGCCCTCGACCGTAATTTTGACAACCCACAACATGTTCACCTCAACTTGGTTGCTGTTGACCCCCTCCGCAAAAAGTGTTTTGACTCTTAGTGGGTTCAATGGAAAACCTGCAAGTTCCCGAACAAAAAAGAAGTTAAGGTCCAAAGATCCAACCCAATCGAGTCCAGGGGTCCTCCCGATTCTGGCACCGGAACGACCGGAACGACCCGATTTCGCCTCTGGCAGCTCAGCCTCCAGGCTCGCCCGGCTCTTCAGCCAGAAGATGCCCAGCCCCACCTTCTCCTCTCGAGTCATGCTGCGAGAGATGGAAAGGTCAACTTTCAGTATTCCACGGAGCTTCAACGCAACCCCCTCTCAATAAGCAACCCTAATACTGAAAAATACTGAAAGTTAACAGATGGAAATGGGAAATGGTTTCCTGACCCCTACACAAAACCCTTGCCATCGGCGCAAAAGATGCAGGGAATGATAAATGGAATGACACCGAGAAAAACCATCCCACTGGTGGTGTCCTTCTTCGACCAAAGCCTGGGTTCATGCCCACATTCCCTTGCGAGCACCAGCAAGTCATCAAACAATGGTGAAGCCTCCTCCCGAATCTGAAGCACACCAGTGGATTGACCAGAATAACAAGTCCAACAAACAAAAGGACTTGCCATTGAAACCAGACGAATGGAGAACGAGTCATCTGGCCATTGCAGAAGATGCAGGGAATGAGAAATGGTTTCCTCACCCCTACAAAACCTTGCCATTGCGAGACATGAGAAAAAAGAAGAGACTCTTCAAAGCACCACATTGGTGCTACTGGAACCTTAAGCGCGAAACGGTGCATCCTTTACGCCGCATAAGGGTTAGTGCCAAAATGGGAGGATTGCCCAGCTCCACTGGGCAGCTCCCCTCAGCAGCTGATGGGAGTAGAATTGATGCCACTCCCACAGCGAGGGAGGAATCCTCCCACCTCACCGGATGCCCTCCCGGCATCATGGGTGAGGAAGGAACGTAGCGAAGATCAACTTGATCAATTCGCTTTCGACTGAGGGGAAGACCCGGTTCTCAGTCGGAAATTGCGGGTCCGGATGAGTAAGTTCATCCGCCCATGTGTTAAAGTCGCGCTTCACATGCGACGGTCCTAACATGACCTGGTGGTCATGCAGTGTTAACACAATTTCCATGAGGATGGCCGCATTGGGCATCCTGCGAGTGGAATCGTTAAGCAGGGAGAAAACGTTTCCCTGGTTATCACTAGCGACCAGAATCCTAGTGTGAGAAGCAGAGCCGGCTGCACAAAGCAGAACAGCCCTCACCAAAAGGAGGAGGCCGAAGAGCTCCAAGGCCGCTATCGCCCGCTGCGGGTCCCCAGTAGTGAAGGCCCACGGCTCGCCCTCCGGTGTGATTTTGTGTTGGAACCACTTCACTGGGACTTGTCGGGGTTGGGCACGTCCGAGCACCAACCCCCAACCCATGCATGGTCCGCCTGTTTGCCAGCTCCCGCATCAGATGCCCCCGTCCATGGAAGTGTGGGAGCAAATGGAGATGCCAGTGGGAACCTCTGGTTGAAGAGC